CTGCATCCAGCCCCCGAGGCTCAGGGCTCCCCCACCCCAAGTACTGGGGAGCCCGGGCTAGGCTCCAGCTCCTCCACCACGGAGCAGGAGCACACTTAACCTATGAGCCTGCGACCTCCTAGGCTCTGGTGTGTGAGGGAAATGTGGGGAGTGTCTTTCCCCTTCTCAGTCAGGGGCCTTGTCAGTGAGGATTTTTTTTCTTTTGCTTCTCACTTGTGTGCGGCCCCGACTGGTTTTTCTGTGGGTCAGTGGCTCCCGACCCAAACAAGGTTCTCCAGCCCTTAAAGCAACCCTTGAACAGGTCAATGAGCCGGCCAGCCCTGAGCTCCTGTCTTTGACTTCAGCCGCGCTGTTAGATGGTATTTCTGTGCAGCCATACTCATGGGGTGTGTCTAGACTACAGGGTTTTGGCGACAAAAGTGGACTTTTGTCGACAAAACTATACCTACATCTACACTACCGCCAAGTTCTGTTGACATAACGTCGCCAGAACTCGGCAGTTTTGTCGACGGCTGTAAACCTCATTCTACGAGGAATAACGCCTTTTGTCAACAGAGTTCTGTCAACAGAAGGCATTATTGCATTTACACTGTCCTTTGCATCTACACTCTCATGTCGACAAAGCGGCTTGCTTTATCAACAGAACTAGATGTAGTCTAGACGCTCTTTGTCGACAGAAGCTTTGCCAACAGTATCTGTCGACAAAGCCTCTGTCGACAAAAGCCTGTAGTCTAGATGTACCCATGAAGATGAGATCAGGCTCCCTTGCACTCCGGTTTCCACTCAGTTACCTTTTAACCCCACAATGGGATAGAGAAATGGGGGGATTTTGTTTTATTTCTGGGCTGCTGGGTTCTCGGTTGCTGTTTCTGTCTTTGATTTATTGTATTGAATTTCCCACGCGTCATTTGCATAATCACGTCCAGGCGCTATTTTGAAATACCCTATTTCGAAAAAAGAAACGCTGTCTAGACCCAGTTATTTTGAAAGAAAACCCTTCTTTCAAAATTATCCTTAAACCTCATTTTAAAAGGAATAAGGGTAATTTTGAAAGAAGGGCCGTATTTGTGTGAGGTGCCAAGGTGGCTCTTGTTATTGGTTTATGATTTGGTGGGTTATGAAAGTAAAATATGCCCTCCATTGTCCCCTGGCAGGAACAAACTCAATACCCCACCACGACTGACCAGTCACCCAGTTGCTGTAGAAGTCAAATTCTGCAGTCCTTTGATAGAGAAAATGTCCATTCAGTTGAGTTCCAATATTTGCAGGGTTTTGATCTCTCATCTTCCGTTTCCCTTTTCTCCCCCTGAGAGTTCTGAGCCTAGGAGACGACCCTTCCCAGTGCCCTCTAGTTACAGAATTACCTTTTGCTCTTCCATGACAGAACCAATCTTGGCTGTGAAAACTCCCTTGACTGATGTTGAAGCTACAGAAGGAGGTGATGCAACTTTTATTGTTGACCTCACAACCACTTGTTCTGGAACCTGGTACCTTAATGGCAAAGCCTTACAGAGTAATGAAATCTACGTCATACAGAGAAGCAAAACCACCCACATCCTCACCATAAAAAATGTCACCAAGAGTGATGATGGCGCAGAGGTGAAATTTGTCACCAAGAATGCTGAAACCAGTACCAAGATGAGAGTTAAAGGTAGTTACTTGGGGCATGTCTACACCACGGGGAAGATCAACGCTTCCATGATCGATTTTCCAAGGTTCAATTTAGTAGGTCTAGTGAAGACATGCTAAATCAAATTCAGAGGGCGCGCCAGTCAGGGCCAATGCTCCTGCTCCTTGCAAGGAGTAAGGGAAGCTGATGGGAGCGTTTGCTCCTGTCGACCTCCCGCTGCGTGGAGGATTAACAATTAACATAGCTGGAGTTGCATATCTTTAATCAACCTTCCCCTCCAGTGTAAACCAGGGCTCAGATCTCAGTCATTTCTCCCTTCAGCCAAAAGAAGCAGAATGGTCTAGGGGTTAGAAAGGAGCATGAGTGTTGGAGCTAGTTTTGTTACTGATTTGATGTGCAAGCTCAGACAAGTGACGTAAGCTCCCAGGGTTGAATTCTGATACCTGAGTAGTATCCCACTTCTTAAGCAGCCTCATTGACTCCACTGGCATGGCCTGAGGAGTAGGAGAACAGTCAGGGTATGTCTACACTGCATTCCTCTTTCGAGAGAGGAATGCAAGTGCAGACAAACGAAATTGCAAATGAAGCGTGGATTTGAATTTCCCGCACTTCATTTGCATAATCGTGTCCGGGCGCTATTTTGAAATACCCTATTTTGAAAAAAGAAATGCTGTCTAGATGCGGTTATTTTGAAAGAAAACCCTTCTTTCGAAATTACCCTTAAACCTCATTTTATAAGGAATAAGGGTAATTTCGAAAGAAGGGTTTCACGAGATATACCGGAGCAATTGACAAAGGCTTCTCTTGTCAACCGCACCGCATCTAGACTACCGCGCTGTGACAGATCAACTGATCGTCGGCCCAGCGTGGCGGCCATTTTTATTTTAATGAAGCGGGGATTATTTAAATCCCTGCTTCTTTGCCTATGCCTGGTAAACTAGTTTACATGGCTCCGTTGACGGAGCCATGTAGTCTAGACGTACCCTAAGCTATAGACCAAAGTTCCTTCTGTGAGGAGCTTGCTACCTAATGTTGATGGATATGATATGTGAGACAGTATAATTTCTTTCTTTCTTTCTTTCTTTCTTTCTTTCTTTCTTTCTTTCTTTCTTTCTTTCTTTCTTTCTTTCTTTCTTTCTTTCTTTCTTTCTTTCTTTCTTTCTTTCTTTCTTTCTTTCTTTCTTTCTTTCTTTCTTTCTTTCTTTCTTTCTTTCTTTCTTTCTTTCTTTCTTTCTTTCTTTCTTTCTTTCTTTCTTTCTTTCTTTCTTTCTTTCTTTCTTTCTTTCTTTCTTCAGTAAGATTCACCAACAAGAGTGGAGCTATTGAAAAGGTCTCCGTTCGGCTGCGGGAGGAGGCACAACTTTGGGCTGAACTTTCAGACCCAGCTGCAGCCGTGAGGTGGTTGAAAAATGGGAAGGAAATCCAGGCCAGTCCAAAATACGAATTGAAAACCACGGAGAGGAAACGCATCCTGAAAATTCACAACGTCACGGCAGAGGACGCTGGCCTTTATACCTGTGTCTGCGAAGGGGATGAAATAGTCTATCAGCTGTCAGTGAAAGGTGGGTGACTCTGCAGTTCCAGCCAGTGGGGTCTTTATGTGACAGAAAGGGAGCTCCTGGCACCGCGGTTCCATGGAAGCGGCAGTACCTCACTGCAGAATGGTGGTGCGCACGAGGGGAGGAAAATTTCGAAGCTGATAGCAGACCCTGTGCTCTGTCTGTAGTAGAAGCCCTGCCATGTTGTCCATCTTGTTTCATGCCCAGATGACCACGTCAGCTGCAACAAGGTGTAGTGCAGTGAACTTGGGAGGTAGGAAAAGGAAAGATGGTCTTGTGGCTAGGAAACCATCCAGGTAGGCAGGAGACAGAGCTTCTATTTCCACCAGGGGCACAGACTCACTGTGTGACCTTGGTCAAGTCACTTAGGGTATGTCTCCGCTACTGAAAATCACCCACAGCTGGTCTGTGTCAGCTGAGTCTAGCTCAGGGGCTCAGGCTGAGTGGTGACGCAATTGCTGTGTAGATGCTCGGAGTGTTACAAGGGGGAGGGAAGCTCAGGGCCTCAGGCTGAGTGGTGACGCAATTGCTGTGTAGATGCTCAGAGTGTTACAAGGGGGAGGGAAAAAAATTGTTCTCAACCTCTGAGGCTAGGACAAGAAGCAAAGGGCTTAACTTGCAGCAAGGGAGGTTTAGGTTGGACATTAGGAAAAACTTCCTACCAGGGTGGTGAAACACTGGAATAAATTGCCCAGGGGGGTTGTAGAATCTCCATCTCTGGAGATATTTAAGAACAGGTTGGATAGACACCTGTCAAGGGTGGTCATAGAGTCATAGAATCCTAAGGCTGGAGTAGTTGGCAGACATCCACAAATGCTTTTGCTGGCATGTAGCTCTTAAATGAAAAAGCTGTGTTGACGTTTCTGGTGCTGTTAGAGGGAGTTAGTCCTGCTGTGTTTATGCTTTAGCTGCAAATGTGTCCTCTTCAGCATCTGTTAGGTTGCTGTAATTATTCTATTTGTTAGCCAGCACAATCTTTACACCAGAAGCTAGTGACTGTAAGAAAAAACAGAGTGTCCAGAATATCCCCACACCTGTCTCGGCCATTCCCCCATTTGCTTGTTTAGTCAGCTGTTGTGTGAAGTCTAAATCCTTTGGGACACAGATTGCGTTTTACTTCTCTGTGCAGTTCTGTAGTTAGAGTGTTTTTTTTATCTTAGTTAGGGTTTTTTTAATGCTACGACAGGAGAAATCCTCATGAACCAAATTTTCATCATTTTTTCATCAAGTTTTTTAGATTGTTTCTATCTGGAATCCCTCCTTACTACTAGGCTGCCCCGATCACAAAGCATCCACTCTACTCCTTGAGCCAAAGGAAAATTCCTATTAGATGTAACTGACAGCAGCATTAAAATTTCCTTCCAAGCCTCAGCCCTATGGGGAGTAATTGGAAGTTGCACTCCGAGGCCTTGTCTCCACATACCAGAGGGTCAATGCTCCGGCGATCAATCTTCCAGGGTTCGATTTAGTGGGTCTAGTAAAGACCCAGTAAATCAAATGCTGAGGGTGCCCCTGTTGACCATGGTACACCTCACTGTTGCGAGTAAGGGAAGTCGATGAGATAGCTGGAATTACATATACTGCATCAATTTTCTCCGCCAGTGTAGACCTGACCTCAGCAGGTTGGCTTCCAGATTGAGACCGAAAGGGTCTCTAGCAATTTTCAGCAGGGATGTTTAGTAACCTGCATGGTAGAGTTTGGGTTTCTGTGGTGATGGTAGAGTGGTGATGAAAGAAGTTCTGCACACTCATCGCTATTAGAATGATGATTAAAGATTAAAAAGATTTTTAAAAAAAGTAGTTTGGCAGTATTGTAAAAAGAGGGTTGAATTTACAGTATTTACAGTGTATCAAGCTCTTCAGTGCTCAGCAGTTTGATGCTGGTTTCCCTGCATATAACAGCACAGCAACTGGATAAAAGTTGTTGAAATATTTTTTAATTTAAATATATTAGATATATTTTTATTTAAATTAAGGGTAAAACCATACGTAGGTATACTCCTGTCATAGGAGCTTTGCTCACACCAGAGCAACAAGCAAAGTGAAACTTTTGCTCTACTTTTTAAAATGACATGGCAGAATGTTAGGGAAAAAATTCCATTCATCAGAATAATTGGTATTTTGTCTTCAAGCACATATTTTGAGTATTGCTACTGTTGTGTATTTGGATTTATACCTTGAATGAGTGTGATTATACTGGTAAATTGATTATTCGTCTACAAATTAGTATAACACTGACTTATTTTAATTTTTTTGTGCTCTGATTAGTTTCCTGTAGAGAATATCTGTTCATTTTTAGAATTATAGTGCAGTACAACTCAAATTATCCAGATTACATTTAAATATTTTATAAGGTTCAATTATTTGCTGCCTAGATAAATACAATAAAGAGTTTTGTGTCACCTTAAAGACTGAGGGTATGTCTACACTAGCCCTCTAATTCGAACTAGGAAGGCTAATGTAGGCATTCGAAGTTGCAAATGAAACCCGGGATTTAAATATCCCGGGCTTTATTTGCATCTTCCCATCCAGGCGCCATTTTTAAATCCCCCTAGTCCAAACTAACTGCCCGCGGCTACATGCGGCAGTTAAACGTTAATTCGAACTAAGTCCTTAGTTTTAAAATGGCGCCCGGATTTTAAAATGGCGCCCGGATGGGAAGATGCAAATAAAGCCCGGGATATTTAAATCCCAGGCTTCATTTGCAACTTCGAATGCCTACATTAGCCTCCCTAATTAGAAATAGGGGGCCAGTGTAGACATACCCTGATGGATTTATTTGGGCATAATCTTTCATGGGCAAAAATCTGATAAAGTGGGTTTTTGCACACAAAAGCCCATGTCCTAATAAATCTGTTAGTCTCTAAGGTGCCACAGGACTCCTCGTTGCTTGTGCAGATAGACTAACATAGCTACCCCCCGACGGATAAATACAGTGATTTAACAAGCCCCCATGTTTTCCCTAATATTTGCTCATTCTCACTTTCTTCCATTCTTTCCTTCCTGCCTCTAGGCTTGCTGGTGGGGTGGGGCAAAGAGGGCAGTTGGCCTGGTGTCTGGCGATTCTAAGGGGCCCTAGGCTTCTGGCCACTGCAGCTGCTGCCCTGGGCCCTTTAAATCACCATGGGAACATAGGAGCACTGCTCTGTGGGGCTCTAAAGGGTGGGGGGAAGGCCCAGCGCCCCGTCCCTTCTGCCTCAGGCCCTGCCCCTTCTGACAAGTGGAGCTGCCCCCCCACACACACATACCTTGCTTAGGGGGCCACGGAAGCTGTGGCCCCCCCCTACCTGCCTCATTAAGTCGGCATCTTGGACGATAACTGAAAACCGCCCACTGTTAAAATATGAAATTCTTAGTCACAGACCCAAATGCAGAGTACATTCTAAGGCAGCCTTTACTCATGGAAATTGTTTTCTTTCCTGTGAGCGGACCACTTGACTTAGCAGAACTGCTTGCCCTCGACCTCCCTCCCAGTGTTACTTTTCTATGATTTTGTGAGTCCTAATTAAAGTCTACGTAGCTGGCTGCCTGGCTATATGACCTGACAGCGTGGACACAGTTCCTGACTGGCGCCATTGGCCGTTTTGTTTCAGCACCCGTGCACTTCACCAACAAAGAGCGCGCTGCTGGGGTTATCACTGCCGTGGCTGGAAAACAGGCTGAGTTTGTTTCGGAGACCTCGGAAGCCGACACCACGGTGCAGTGGTACAAAGAAGGCAAAGAAATCAGGCGCACAAAGAAATTCACCCTGGAGGATAACGGGAAGCTGCACAAGCTTGTCGCCTCAGCTGTAACGAAAGAGGATGAGGGAACGTACACGTGCAAAGCTGGAGAGGACACGCTAGTGTTCAGTTTAAAGGTCTCAGGTGAGTTCTTGAGGCAAGTGTGAGCAGGGCTTAAGCAGGGGGGCCGACAGACTTGCCAGGCCCCTGGGCAAAGGGGGGGTCTGGAGTGCGCTTTGCCCCTCCCCTCAACCCTCACCACTGCCCGGAGAATGCCATGCCTCTCCCTGCAGCCCTCAGCACCGCCTGGAGTGCACCATGCAAGGCTCCGGTGGCAGTTTAATAGCCCAGGGTGCTGGCTATGAGCAGTGGTGACTGGGAACCCCGGAGCCTTTTGAACAGGGGTAGTTGCCCCCTTTGCCCACACTCCCATTGGTGTGATATTAGGCACTGAAGTCCTGCCTCACCGCACAGGACTTTTTCATTTTGCTTGCATGCTCTGTGGGACAGCGGCTGCCATGCTGATGCATATACAGCGCCTTGCACAGCGAGGTCCCGATCTCTAGTCACATCGGCAACCCACGTAAGCGACAATAATAGTGCTATTCTGGTCACTCACAGAATGACTAGAGACCAAACCACAAGCCAAAAGCCAAAACCACAGCCCCAACACCCCAAACTTTCCCCAGGTTGGATCTGGCCCTTGCCTCACAATTTACACTCCCTTCGACCCCTCCGGCATGAGAGGGGGTTTGAAAGTCTGGGGTGCCTTCCGAGAAAGTCCTCGGCCTAGTAAACTCTTGAGGTGAACAGTCCTGGGCTTCCAGCAGAACGTCTGTGATCTCTGAATGTGAGTCAGTCGCTGAGATCCCTGGATCTGTCTCCACAGTAAAGTGCATGCCCTGAAGCCAAGTAGGGAGGAGTCCTAGAACTGATGTGATTCAATCCAGAGCTGGACAAAGGAGGGATCATTTGGTGGTTCCCTGTTTTGTTCATTCCCTCTGGGGCATCCGGCATTGGCCACTGTGGAAAGACAGATCACCTTTGGTCTGACCCAGTATGGCTACTCTTAGGTTCAGAATTAATGGTGTTGAGGCTGTGGGGAAGATATAAAAATGCTCTGTGAAATCCAGATGACTCCACTCACATGGATTGGTGGGGGAGTCTGGATTTGGTTCTCTGGCTTTTGCTTTGAGCTTCATCTTCAAAAGGTTCCAGAATCTCAAAACATGAAGCTACCGAGTTTCATTTGATCCTGAGTCAAAACGACTGAATTTCACGTTGTTTCTATTGGAACCTTTAGTCTCATAGACTCATAGACTCATAGACTTTAAGGTCAGAAGGGACCATTATGATCATCTAGTCTGACCCCCTGCACAGTGCAGGCCACAGAATCTCGCCCACCCAGACTCAAGCGAACCAGACTCCTATTTGCCAAAAGGTTTGTGAACCCAAGTGAACTTCTTGGCAAACAAGGTCTCAATTTCTCGCTGCTGAGAAAACCCTGGACCAGCCACGTTTCATTTGGTTTCATGTTTCGTAGTAAAAAAAATGTCCAGAGTGCTAATCAGAAGCACCGTAGGGGAGGGGCTGGAATAAAGACTGGGCAATAAGCTACCTTAGTGGGAGTGAATGTTCCCCGTAAATCTACAATGCCAGGACTCTGATGAGACTATTATTCTATAGTCAAATAATTCTTGCGAGATAGATTCCTCCTACAGGTGGATACGTTTTAACAGAAATGTTTGTTCCTTGGTGCCAAAAAAGTGGTTGGCATGGCTGTATCGTACTAGTTGTCCTTGGGATTCTTGGCGATCAAATGCAACAGGTGCTGTAGACTAATACACAGTGTTAAACTAAGGTTACTTATCGCTGATGGCAAATCAACTTACTCTTCAGCAGGCTGGCTTTGATCGAGTGCATGGTCTGAAATACGTGTTGCCCTCATTGTGTTGCCTGTTAGCATGAGTGGTAGAGTGTGTCAGACATGTGGATTTCCCAGATTAATTTATGAGATGCGTATCTTCATACAGCTGCGTATCTTCATACAGCTTATGCCATCTTCACTTTAATCTTTGTAAACACATTCTAGGGGAACCCCCCCCACCAAAACCCACAGCTGTCATTGTAGTAACCCTCAGCCTGGATCAGTAGCAGAGTATGAATCTTCAGTGCCAACCTCTGAGCCGCTATGATTTGAGATCAATGAAAACGCTATGAAGTGCATGCAGCGGTAGGCTCTTATCATCTCTGTGGCCTCCATATCAGGAGTGGGCAATAAAAAAACCTGCAGCCCACAAGGTTACTCCCTGGTAGGCCACCACCACTATGTTTACCTGCACCTCAGCAGGTATAGGAGGATCGCAGCTCTGGCTGGCCATGAATAGCTGTTTGCGGCCAATGCAAGCGGCAGGAAGGGCCGCGGACTGGGACGCTGCTCGTGTTGGCTGTGAATGGTGATTTGTGGCCAACCAGAGCTGCAATCCTTTGATACTTGCTGAGGTGCAGGTAAACATGGAGGTGGGAGCCTGTTAGGGACCACAGGCCGGAATTTACCCCTGCTCAATATCCCTTCTTTAAATCTCTCCTTATAGGTCAGGTGTTCTATAGCTTTTGTCAATTCTGTTTTGCTTTTCTGACCTCTCCCTCTCTTGCTAATTCATGTCTTTCCTAAAGTCCAGTGCCCAGAACTGGAGAGAGGACTCCAGCTGAGGCTGTGCCAAGTAGAAGGACTCTTCCAATGACTTCCTGTGTCTTACAGATGACATTCCTATGGATGTTTTTCCTCAGCTACACTCATATGCAAATCCCTTAGTGACAACCATGTTGTCGTTACACTCGGTAACCATACGCATCCTTCCTGCATGAGGCTGAAACATGAAGCTGGGAGATCCATTTTTAGTAACTCCTTGGAGGGTCATCAGAAGGGCTTGAATTTGGACCTTTAGCACAGACTTCAACCAGATGAACTGCAGGAGAAATTCCACTAGTGGGTAGCTACCGTTTGCTGTTATTGTCCATGAACCTGTTACTAGAGGGGAATGAAACTCAAGCATGTTACACAAATACATGCTTCCATAGATGGAGCTCTGAAGGTCACTAAGACCAGGTCTGCGCTACCAGAGAAAGTCAGCCTAAGATACACAACTCCAGCTAGGAGACTAGCATAGCTGGAGTCGACCTATCTTAGGTCAAATTTCTGCAGTGTCCCTGCTCTCTTAGGAAGATGGGAGAAACTCTCCTATTGGCTTCCCTTACTCCTCTCTGCCTGGTAGAGTACCAGAGTTGATGGGGGCATCATCAGCAGTTGATTTATACTAGACCCACTAAACTGAACCCCAAGAGATGGATCCCCGGAGTGCTGACCTCTGGGTAAGTGAAGACAAGATCTCACACTGAAATGCCAGCATGTAACTGGATCATGGTTATGTTGTTCTAGGTCAGGGCTACTCAACTTTGGAAGCCCCGGGGACCACAATGATACAGCACATGCTGAGGGCTGCAACTTAATTGTGGTTGCATATACATGCAAATATATGCAAATAGCGTCTTTCACACTGACAGGCGTGAATACAAACATTAAGGCAAGACTACACCACCCACAGGCCCCATTTAAGTCAGTTCTGCTGATATTAATAAAATGCAATAGTTACCTGATTTCCACCCATATGATAGCACTTGTAATGAGCAATGACGGTCCAGGAATTGAACTGCTAAAACACATATGAACAGAAGACCATTATATTGACTGCTTTTATGTTTTGGCTCCCACCCATGGACCACAAACAAATGGGCCACAGGCCACATGTGGCCCATGAGCCGCATGTTGAGTAGCCTTGCTCTAGGTTAATGGGGGGCACAAACTGCTTTTCTTTCTTTTTAGATGAAGTTGTTAAGTTTGTCAACAAGCCGAAAGCAACGCCAGAAATTTCCATCGGCCCTTCGGAGAGTCTAGCGCTGGCGTGTGCGGTGTCGGTGGCAAGCGGGGCGGTGGTGTGGAAGAAGGATCAAACTGAGGTTAAGCAGGACCAGAGGACGGTAGTCATCGCTCAGGGAACAGACCGAAAGCTTATCATCAAGAACGTGACACGACATGACCAAGGGAGCTACACCTGTGAAACAAAGGATGACAAAGTAACATTCCAAGTCCAAGTCAAAGGTGAGCAGCTGCATAAACTCTCAAGGGCCTTCGAATACTTTATCCTGGGTAGCATCTTGCATCCAAGACCAGGCCTACACTAAAAGGGACGGTCAAATCAAGAAACAACATCCCTTGTTTCAAGTTTCCCCACCATCCCCATAGGGAGGGAGTGGAGCCATGGGAGTGCTAGGTGAAGTGTCAATGGTATCGTCAGATAGCTACTGGGCATGTGTGCCCAGAGCAGGCACTGCTTCCAAAAATCTCCCATCAACATTGCCGGGATGCACCTAAACCTGAAGTGAAGGAGGACACATCTCAAAAAAGCTCAGATACTACACGGGGCGAAGAACCGTCTCTTCATAATTCTGAGGTTCTACTCTAGTGAGGAGTCATCTCATGCGTGTTCATTCTGAGCCATGTCTTCCTCCTGTTGCTTTGCTGAGCCCAGAGTGCTGGGTTGCGGGTGGCTGCCATGTGTCCTGTTGCTTTGCTGAGCCCAGAGTGCCGGGGTGTGGGTGGCTGCCGTGTACAACCTCCCACCCAGCCTGAATGCCAGCATCTGGCACCCACCTGGCTTGCCCTATATGTGTAGGGGGAAGGACTGTGGGTCCCTTCTGATTGTAGGGCCCAGCGCCATAGCAAACCTGCTAATGTCTGTATTTTGGAGGGCTGTTGAGAGGATACAGCTTTTAACTTTCCAGAAGTGCTAACTAAGGCCAGGTCTGCACTGGCGGAAAAAAACGATGCAAGATACACAACTCTAGCTACATGAATTGCATAGCTGGAGTCGACGGACTTTACACCAATTTTCTAGGGTGGCACCACAGTGGGAGGTTGATGGGTTCGTCGACTTCCCTTACTCCTTGCAAAAGCAAGGCATCCTGGGATCAAGGCGGGGGGGCTCAATGTTTGATTTAGCAGGTCTTTACTAGACCTGCTAAATCAAAGCCTGGAGGATCGATCACTAGAGCGTTGATCCTTTGGCAAGTAGAAACATGGCGTAGACCTGCTAAATCAAAGCCTGGAGGATCGAACACTAGAGCGTTGATCCTTCGGCAAGTAGAAACATTGCATTGGAGTGATATGGGGAGCATTATGTAAGGCCTGTGATAAGAGACTGAATGTGATAAGGACACATGACTGCATTTCCATCTTGCAGAGACAGAAGAGGTGTTCACAAACCAGGAGAAGGTGCAGAGGGAGGTGAAGGCCATGCTGACAGAGAACGCCATCCTCAGCTGCGAGGTGGCTCAGGCCAAGACTGACGTCAAATGGTACAAGGACGGGAAACTGATCACCTCTAGCAAGAACTTCAAGGTGGAGTCTGAGGGCAGGTCCCGGCATCTGGTGGTGGAGCAGGTAGAGAAAAAGGATGCTGGAGAATACACCTGTGAGGCTGCAGGCCAGAAACTGAGCTTCAAACTTGTCGTCACAGGTGAGAGAGATACTGTGATAAAGACATCTATCAGGAATGATCTAGACGGTACTTGGTCCTGCTGTGCGGTCAGAGTTCTGGACTTGATGATCTTTCGAGGCCCCTTCCAAATCTATCAGGAATGATCTAGATGGTACTTGGTCCTGCTGTGCAGTCAGAGTTCTGGACTTGATGATCTTTTGAGGCCCCTTCCAGTACTAGTGTTCTGTGATAGGGATGTTAAATTTAGAATAATTGGCTAATCAAATAGTCAGGCCTGTGAGCCAGGCCCAGAGACAGTTTTAAAATTGGAGTTTCAATTCTCACAGAAACCTCATTGCAGAGTCCTTTCAGAGTACACACAGATCTGTTGCTGCAGTCAGAACCACTATCACCTGAGAATACATCCACAGATCTGCCATTCTTAAATCCACAGAGCACAGGCAAATCAAGTCCTGCTATTCCCTTATGAGTGATACACAATCAATGACTTTTTAGAGTGAATGGGCTGCTTGAAAGGGATGGAAATGTTGGCTCTTTCAGGTTTCAACGAAGGAAAGTTTTGTAGCGAGATGTTGGTGAAATAAATCCGCACTGATACATTCAGGTCTGGATTTGGGATTACTCTTCCCAGCAGCCCTGACATCTTGCATGGGGGGATTTGGGTCTGTTTATTGTGAAGGAAAAGCCATACAAGCTCCACAATAAAGGTCAAAATTGTCCCTGTTGTTGCGTTTTTTGGGGTCAGGTAAAGCGGGAGAGACACAAAATGAATTCTGCCTCAGCAACAGTAGCTTTTCCTTGCCTTTCTTTCTGGGGTTCCTTGGTCGCATTTCATCCCTTATCATTCCCCTCCCCTGCAGAGAGAGAGGAGGTGTTTGCAAACCAGGAGAAGGTGCAGCGGGAGGTCAAGGTGGCCCCCATGGAGAACGCCACACTAAGTTGTGAGGTGGCCCAGGCCGAGACAGCAGTGAAGTGGTACAAGGAAGGGAAACTGATCACCTCCAGCAAGAAATTCAAAGTGGCATCTGAGGGCAAGTCCCGGCGTCTGGCCGTGGAGCAGGTGGAGAAGAAGGATGCAGGAGAATACAGCTGTGAGGCTGCAGGCCAGAAACTGGCCTTCAAGGTAGTCATCACAGGTGAGAGAAAATCCTGCCTTTCACTCTGAGTGCAGACGGCTTTTCAAAAAATTACAGGTTTTGCAACATTGTGGATAAAAATGTGCAGAGTAAATAGGTAAAATGGAGCGGGGGTGGGGAGGAACCTGGCTGCTCTTAGTGGGCAGGCACGTCACAGCCGAAGCAGAACATTTTCTAAACTAGGTTGGGCTACAGAATATCTGCAGAGCATCCAGCTCAGACATTCTGGCTTCTCTGCGGTGCCTTCATTTACGTTAAAAACATAACAGCGCTACGGAAAGTTGAGAAATGCTGGCCAGGCCAGGTCTCAGAGAGGGAGGAAAGTTTTCCAAGCAACATCTCAGCTCAGATAAGCTACAGGGAGACTTGAAGTGATAAATTCAGATGTGAAGCTGAGATTGCTCCAGAGGAATGAGGAGAGGTTGCGTGTGGGGGTTTGGGGAGGGGGTTATTACAGGTCCATAACTGAGGTTACATGTGGATTTGCTCTGAGGTTAGGAGAGGTCCAGCAGAGGTGAGACACATGCAGTGAAAGCTGCCTCAGGTGCAGAGCTGTCTGCTTCTCCCTGCCCCTTGATCTGCTGCCCTTTGTGATTAAAGCCCCCCAGAGTTCAATGAATCTCTGGAGCTGCAGGCACCTTGGCTCTGTGTCCAGGAGGCTCTGGAGAGATTCCAGAATCGTTGCAGCGGGCGAGTGTGTGGCAGCAGCAGCAGAACATTTTCCAGGCGAGGTTGGGATTCAGAACATCTGCATGGCATCCCCCCGAGCCTGCCTGGCTTCTCCTTAATGCCACTGCAGTGCTCACTCTGCAGTGAGCCACTGCAGTTCCAGGCGGGGGAACGTGGAGATTCTCGGGGTGGCTGGTGGCTGAAGCAGATGCCACACAAACTCAGTGGATAAGGGTGACATATCAGGCAAAGCGGGGGAGTTGAGCAGCTCAATAACCCCTCAGGAAGCAGGGCTGTCAGCTGCTCCCTGCCTTCTCCGCAAGAGTCTCTTGAGAGCAGGGGATCGGGACAGAGTTTGCCATGTCATTCCTTTCCCCCGGCAGAGCCTGCAGAAGTGTTTGCGAACCAGGAGAAGGTGCAAAGGGAGGTCAAGGCCGTGCTGACAGAGAGCGCCGCCCTCAGCTGTGAAGTGGCCCAGGCCACAACTGACGTGAAGTGGTACAAGGACGGGAAACTGATCACCTCCAGCAAGAAATTCAAAGTGGAGTCAGAGGGCAGGTCCCGGCGTCTGGTCGTGGAGCAGGTGGAGAAGAAGGACAGTGGAGAATACACCTGTGAGGCTGCAGGCCAGAAATTGAGCTTCAGAGTTATCATCACAGGTAAGAGAGAGAAGTGCTCTCACTGGTATTCACTGTTGTGACCTGCCATTTTGTATTTCTCCTGCAAATATTTTGCATTAATTTAAACAACAGAATTTTATTTGCTGTTTCATTCCGAAGAGTTGAAGTGAAGACAGAGGGGCCCACGTCTCTAGTTAGGGTAAATCCCCGGTGCTCTCTTGCCCTCTGTCTGGCGATGCAGGTGCATACCAGCGGAGGGGCTGGCCCTGTGAGGGAACTGAAATGAGTTTGGTGTCATCTCCTGAACGGACACCAAAGTAAAACAAAGACAGTACGCAGGTGGGAGACCCTCTTATTGGGGGTGGCTTCTTACCAAGGAGCAAGTTCAAAGGGCCCTGTGAGGGAATTGAAATGAGTTTGGTGTCATCTCCTGAACGGACACCAAAGTAAAACAAAGACAGTACGCAGGTGGGAGACCCTCTTATTGGGGGTGGCTTCTTACCAAGGAGACATGACAGCAAGTTCAAAGCTGAGGTTACACGCGGATTTGCTCTGAGGTTGGGAGAGGTCCGGCAGAGGTGGGACACATGCAGTCAGGTGCAGAACTGTCAGCTTCTCCCTTCCCCTTTCTCCTTCTCCGTTCTCTGGATGACACCGCATCCGGGAGGGAGTCTAAGCCCTGTCATTCATTATCTTGGCAGAGGGTGAGGAGGTGTTTGCGAACCAGGAGAAGGTGCAAAGGGAGGTCAAGGCCGTGCTGACAGAGAGCGCCACCCTCCGCTGCGAGGTGGCCCAGGCCAAAACAGACGTGAAGTGGTACAAGGACGGGAAACTGATCACCTCCAGCAAGAAATTCAAAGTGGAGTCAGAGGGCAAGTCCCGGCGTCTGGTCGTGGAGCAGGTGGAGAAGAAGGACGCTGGAGAATACACCTGTGAGGCTGCAGGCCAGAAATTGAGCTTCAGAGTTATCATCACAGGTAAGAGAGAGAAGTGCTCTCGTTGGCATTCACTGTTGTGACCTGCCATTTTGTATTTCTCCTGCAAATATTTTGCATTAAATTAAACAACAGAATTTTATTTGCTGTTTCATTCCGAAGAGTTGAAGTGAAGACAGAGGGGCCCACGTCTCTAGTTAGGGTAAATCCCCGGTGCTCTCTTGCCCTCTGTCTGGCGATGCAGGTGCATACCAGCGGAGGGGCTGGCCCTGTGAGGGAACTGAAATGAGTTTGGTGTCATCTCCTGAACGGACACCAAAGTAAAACAAAGACAGTACGCAGGTGGGAGACCCTCTTATTGGGGGTGGCTTCTTACCAAGGAGCAAGTTCAAAGCTGAGGTTACATGTGGATTTGCTCTGAGGTTGGGAGAGGTCCGGCAGAGGTGAGACACATGCAATGAAAGCTGCCTCAGGTGCAGAACAGTCAGCTTATCCCTTCCCCTTTCTCCTTCTCCGTTCTCTGGATGACACCACATCTGTGAGGGAGTTTAAGCCCTGTCATTCATTATCTTGGCAGAGGGTGAGGAGGTGTTTGCGAACCAGGAGAAGGTGCAAAGGGAGGTCAAGGCCGTGCTGACAGAGAGCGCCACCCTCCGCTGCGAGGTGGCCCAGGCCAAAACAGACGTGAAGTGGTACAAGGACGGGAAACTGATCACCTCCAGCAAGAAATTCAAAGTGGCATCTGAGGGCAAGTCCCGGCGTCTGGCCGTGGAGCAGGTGGAGAAGAAGGATGCAGGAGAATACACCTGTGAGGCTGCAGGCCAGAAACTGGCCTTCAAGCTTTCTGTCACAGGTGAGAGTCTGCCTGCTTTCTACTCATGGGCTGATCTGCTGCCCTTTGTGGTTAAAGCCCCCCAGAGTTCAATGAATCTCTGGAGCTGCAGGCACCTTGGCTCTGTGTCCAGGAGGCTCTGGAGAGATTCCAGAATCGTTGCAGCGGGCGAGTGTGTGGCAGCAGCAGCAGAACATTTTCCAGGCGAGGTTGGGATTCAGAACATCTGCATGGCATCCCCCCGAGCCTCCCTGGCTTCTCCTTAATGCCACTGCAGTGCTCACTCTGCAGTGAGCCACTGCAGTTCAAGGCGGGGGAACATGGAGATTCTCGGGGTGGCTGGTGGCTGAAGCAGATGCCACACAAACTCAGTGGCTAAGGGTGACATATCAGGCAAAGAAGGGGAGACGAGCAGCTCAATGACCCCTCAGGAAGCAGGACTGTCAGCTGCTCCCTGCCTTCTCCGCAAGAGTCTCTTGAGAGCAGGGGATCGGGGCAGAGTTTGCCATGTCATTCCTTTCCCCCGGCAGAGCCTGCAGAGGTGTTTGCGAACCAGGAGAAGGTGCAGAGGGAGGTCAAGGCCGTGCTGACAGAGAGCGCTGCCCTCAGCTGTGAAGTGGCCCAGGCCAAAACAGACGTGAAGTGGTACAAGGACGGGAAACTGATCACCTCCAGCAAGAAATTCAAAGTGGAGTCTGAGGGCAGGTCCCGGCGTCTGGTCGTGGAGCAGGTGGAGAAGAAGGACGCCGGAGAATACACCTGTGAGGCTGCAGGCCAGAAACTGGCCTTCAAGCTTTCTGTCACAGGTGAGAGTCTGCCTGCTTTCTACTCATGGGCTGATCTGCTGCCCTTTGTGATTAAAGCCTCCCAGAGTTCAATGAATCTCTGGAGCTGCCGGCACCTTGGCTCTGTCCTCGGGGCCTCTGGAGAGATTTTGGGCACTGTCACAGATATATGAAGTAAGCAGGTAAAATGGGGCGGGGCCTGAATCTTCGTAGCGGGCGGGTGTGTGGCAGCTGCAGCAGAACATTTTGCAGATGAGGTTGGGTTCTGGAACGTTCGCATGGCGCCCCGCCGGGCCTGCCTGGCTTCTCTTTAATGCCACTGAAGCGCTCACAGGGGGGTGCTCACTCTGCAGTCCCAGGTGGGGGAATGTGGGGATTCGGGGTGGCTGGTGGCTTAAGCAGATGCCACACAAGCTCGTTTGCTCCAGTTGCATTGTCAGTCAGGTCCCTCGCCAGTGTAAATCCGCAGTGCTCTCTTGACCTCTGACTGGGGAGGTACGTGTGTACCAGCAGAGGGGCTGGCTCTTGGGGGGAATTGAAATGAGTTTGGTGTATTTTGTGAATGGACACGAAGTCAGAAAAGGCACAGCAGACAGCGGGAGGCCCAGTTATTAACCATGGGGTGTGAATTTGCTTTCACTCATACCGATTTACACCATTGTAATTCCACTGCGTTCAGAGGAATTCCTCCTGCTGGGCAGGCACATGTGGGAAAGAAATCAGAGCCGCATTTTACGAAAACCTCAGAATTCATGTGCTTGGATTTTGAGATCATCCAACAATACAGACAGTGTCAGGTTGGGAAGATATAACGTCCTATTCATTCAGAAGTGCCATTAGCACAGGGGCGGTTAAGAGTCAGTCTGACCGATTCAGCACATTGACAAGTGCAGCTGTATTCCCAAATGAGATGCACATGTGTTCATTAATGTACATTAGCACTGCCCACATCGTCGTGCTCAGGGATCAAACCTACGACCTCTTCAGTAAAGCAAATGAGCCTCCTCTGCTTGCAGTAAAAGGCACGTCTGTCCTAGCCAAGGCTGTAGTCACTAATCGATCGCTAGAGGGGGACAGAGTGCCACTCCAAGCAGGCAGGGGTCACACGTGGAAGGCCCCGTATTTCTTCCGGAGCCTTGCATTTCTTCTGGATGCTAGAGCATCGAACAGCCCGATCGGTGGCAAAACCATTGTATCTGGGGCTGGAATTTAACAAATGGGCCCATTTCACAGTTACAATGAAGTGGGGCACAGCTCAGTAATAAACTTTGCATTGTGTGGGGAATACTTTATGTATCTCTAACAGCACATTCAGTTTCTAAACTGCTTCTCCCCTCTTGGCAGAGCCCGAAGAGATATTTGCAAACCAGGCAAAGGTGCAGAGGGAGGTGAAGGCCATGCTAACAGAGACCGCCACCCTTTCCTGCGAAGTGGCCCAAGCCAAGACTGACGTGAAGTGGTACAAGGACGGGAAATTGGTCACCTCCAGCAAGAAACTCAAGGTGGAGTCTGAGGGCAGGTCCCGGTGCCTGGTCGTGGAGCAGGTGGAGAAGAAGGATGCTGGAGAATACACCTGTGAGGCTGCAGGCCAGAAGCTGAGTTTCAAGATTATCGTCACCGGTGAGAGAGACTCTTATTTTTATTTGCTATTGCATTGTCCACTCTTCCAGCACCATTTGTATGTGAGAGATGGGGTGTTAATTATGCAAAAGAGTCCTCTTGCACTCATCTGTCGCAGTGCACAACTGGGTCTACAGGGTGTGTGTAATTTCAAGCTCTCTGTGGTCCCACTGTCTCAAAGTCATTTAAGTGCCTCAGTAGCTTTGTGGACGAGGGGATCTTAGTAAAATGTAAATTCCATGAGGTTCAGAGTTTGGGGAGCTCCTCTGAATGAATGTACTAGGTTTTATTTGGGTCTCTTTCTTCTACTTATTCATGTTAAAATCTCACAAAAACATTTCTGGTGCTCCTGCTTTTGGCCAGATCAGCAACAGAGTGAGGACAGACCATGTCTTTGCGCTCTGGCGTATAGTGACCTAGAAGGCTTTTTCCTCCAGAAAAGGAATGTTCTTCCTAACATGTGGTGTAGTGTGCATCAAATGACTCAAGACATGGGGCACTCAGGAAATACGAATTTATAAAAATCTTCCTACATCAAATGACTCAAGACATGGGGCACTCAGGAAATATGAATTGAGAAAAATCTTCCTTACCTGTCTTCTGTTAATGATGGCCAAAGCTGGGGGAGTTAACTTTTTAAAATGGTTTCCCCCCATCCCAGAGCCTGAAGTTGTGTTTGCAAACAAAGAGAAGGTGCAGAGGGAGGTGAAGGCCGTACTGACAGAGAGCGCCACCCTCAGCTGTGAGATGGCCCAGGCCAACACTGATGTGAAGTGGTACAAGGACGGGAAACTGGTCACCTCCAGCAAGAAACTCAAGGTGGAATCTGAGGGCAGGTCCCGGCGCTTGGTCGTGGAGCAGGTGGAGAAGAAAGATGCTGGAGAATACACCTGTGAGGCTGCAGGCCAGAAACTGAGCTTCAAGGTTATCATCACCGGTGAGAGAGACACTTATTTTCATTTGCTGTTTTATTGTCCACTCTTTCAGGAGCATTTCTTTGTGAATGAGGGGATGTTAAATATTGGGGGGAGGGAAGGAAGTCCTCTCTCACTCATCTATTGCAGTGTGCAACTAGGTCTTCTGGGTGTGCAACTGGTGTCTAATTTCAAGCCCATTGGTGATCCTACTGCCTGCAGTGGAATTGCTCTTCTGCCTTAAAGTCATGCATGTGCCCCGGTAACTTTGTGGACAGGGAGTCTTAGGAAAATGAAAATTCCATGAGGTTTGGAGTTTGGGTAACTCAAAAGCTCTCCTGAATGTACACGGATATATTTGAGTCTCTTTCTGCTCTTGGTTCATGTTATAATCTCAGAAAAACAGGCTCTCTCACAACATTTCCAAGATAAATCCAAATGAACCTTGATTGTTCAAAGCTGTGTATAGCTTTCTTGAAAAGGTCGGTAAATCTTAGTGAACCTTTGGATGATTCTGGGCTGAATTTCAAGATTATCACAAAACCAGAAGCTTGAGTTTTGGCCCAAGAGCCATTGAAGTCCATGGAAAGAATGCCATGAACTTTAGTGGACTATGGATCAGGTTCAGGTTTGCGGTTTGAGGTTTCCTTTGGTCTTTTGACAGAGCTAGGATGCCCAGTCTATTGCAACTGCCAGGTTGGATCAGACCAATGGTCCATCTAGTCCAGGATCTGGTCTCTTGCACCGGACAGTATGAAGTGCATCACAGGGATGTGCAAAGCAGGCCAAAGTGTGCAATTATGGAATAACCTGTCCATTGGGAAAATCCCTTCTTGACCCCAGTTTGCTATAAGTTGGCTTGTACATGAAGCATGAGAGTTCACGGCTTTTTCAAACTTCTTGTTTTAAATTCCAGCCTCCTGCTGGGATTGGATCCTGACTGCTCGATTACTTTTCTTGCTTTACTCTAGAGATGATATGAAATAGGAAAACCTGTCTCTGGATCCTCGTTAAGGTGCAGACTTTCACCAGATTCAAGGGAGTTTGAAGATGGAGTTGGAATGACATGACATTTTAGAGTCTGATCTAAAATTCCACTAAATTCAGTCAGATTTGGATCCAGTGTCCTGGTTCCAAGACCTATTGTTCTTTGGATTGTTGCTTTCCTGCCACTGTGGCAGAATTTAAATAGTTAAGGAGAGATCTGTGATGGGTTTTATGTTTGTATATTTTGCCAGGATGGATAATTCGTCCCCCAAGCAGTTCTGGCTAAGGGTTGAATCTGGCATTTAAAAGATCCAATCTCAATGTTCTGCCCAGTGTTTCTATTAAATAAGCTACAAGAAGGTGGTCCAGGACAAGATAGTCCCTCTCCCACCTTGTCTCTAGGTCAGACCTAGGTTTGTCTTAAAACAGCCTCTGTCATTAATGGGGAATCTGAAACCCCTTGCCTCAAAAAAAAAAAAAAAAAAAAAGGTTTGTTTCGTGACTTTCCCCCTCTCCTCCTATTTGCAGAGCCCGCAGAGGTGTTTACAAACCAGGAGAAGGTACAGAAGGAGGTGAAGGCCGTGCTGACGGAGAGCGCCACCCTCAGCTGCGAGGTGGCCCAGGCCAAGACTGACGTGAAGTGGTACAAAGATGGGAAATTGATCACCCCCAGCAAGAAACTCAAAGTGGAGGCGGAGGGCAAATCCCGGCGCCTGATTGTGGAGCAGGTGGAGAAGAAGGATGCTGGCGAGTACACCTGTGAAGCCGCAGGCCAGAAACTGACCTTCAGGCTTCTTGTCACAGGTGAGAGAGGCTGATTTATCTCTTATTTTCCATATTGGAAAACTGAAGCAGGGGGAAGCTAAGTGACTTCCCTAAGGTTGTGCAGGGAGTCAGTGGCAGAGCCGGGGATAGAATTCATTTGTGTCTGGCTCATACTCCTGCACTTGTGTCACCACACTATGCTGTCTCCCTGAGAAGGCTGCGGGCCCCACACGGGCCTTCTGGTTTCTATCCTGGAAGAGAAAGTGAAGAGGCTCCAGAGGCAGCTGGATCGTGGGGGATGGGAAGAACTAGGAAAGCTAAACTGCATAGATCAGAAGAGGGGGGGAACTGTAAGGCTGAGGATGTGGATGGAGAGGGCGAGGGAGCAGGGTTAGGGTTAGGGTTAGGGTTAGGGTTAGGGTTAGGGCAAGGGAGTGGGTTGAAAAGGAAGAGAAAGAGATGAGCATGTTCCAGAAAAAGTCATTCCCTCCAGAGGAATTAGGGATCGATTTGCTCAGGACAGAAGAGGGCCCGAGCAGCCGCCAGAGAGAGCGATGAGGCATTGGAACTTGGGGATTCATGGCCAGGTTTCTGTATGATGTAGAGGGAAGGAGCCAAGTTGGATGCTTTCTCCCAGGTGCAATGCTGCCGGGTAATCGGGCACAGGCCTGTCTGGAGAATGTCCAGGGATTGCCACTTGGAACATCAGTGTGGAGCCTGATGCCGTGTGTCTGGCAAAGGAGAGTTTGGTCAAATCAAGTAGCCATGAGGGAACGTGAGGCAACAACTGTAGTCAGGCCTCCGCTTTCTAGAAATGGCCCTTCCAGGTGGAACAACAAAGTCCGGCGGCCTCTCCCAGCTAGGATAAGGTGTCGGAATGACATTGACAGACACCAGGGTGAAATCCTGGCTCCATTGCAGGATTGACTTCAGTGGGGGCACATATTCCTCCCGCTGTCTCCAGTTTGGCTTAGGATACATTTAAAGGAAGTAAATAAACTGTGCAGGAGTTTAGGCATTCGACTAATGCTGGAGATGGCCTGGCGTAATTCTGGAAAAGTAACTGAGGGGGGTGGTTTATGTTCATTAGCAATCCTAGAAGCCAAACCCTGGATCAGAACGTCTGTGACATTTTGGAAGTTGAAACATGGAACCCGGAATTTGGGCTGAGATTTATTTTTCCTTGAGTCCACCTTTATTTTGGGTTGCAAGATAAACAACGTCGCTCCTCTTGTTTCTGTGAGGTAGTGTGCAGCTTCGGACAGCACACAAGTGTAATCCAGAAGCACTGAGACCACTGGAGCATGCAAAGCCTCCTCCCGTCCTGCCAGGAGCACATGGCACTTTGAAGCGCTGTGTGCTGTTCGCAGGGTGGGGGGGAGAGCGGAGGAGGCTTCGTGCTCTCCTGTCCCCAGGTCAATCAGGGCCTGAGAGCAGGGGAGCTGTGTGAAGCTTCTTACTCCCTGCCCCGGTCCTGCGAGGAGCTTGCAGCACTTCAAAGTGCCACGTGCTCCTTGCCGGGCAGAAGGAGGCTTCGCGCCCTCCCCATTCCCAGGCCCTGATTGGCCTGGGGGTGGGGGAACATGCCAAGCCTCTTCCACAGCGTCAGTACCTAGTGGCAAGGGGGGCAAAGGGGCTCCCCCACCCCCAGATTCATTATGGTCTGGGGGGGGTAGCCCTACCCCCTTCCCGTTTAGGCCCCGCCCCTTCCAGGGTGGCCCGCAGGCAAAAATTATTGCCCATCCCTGCTGTAGAGGCCCATGCCTTTAACCCTTCGTCCACTTGGAACCGTTAGTCCCGGGTTCAATCCCACCTGTTGATACCATCCCTGCTGTAGAGGCCCATGCCTTTAACCCCTCGTCCACTTGGAACCTTTAGTCCCGGGTTCAATCCCACCTGCTGATGATCCAAATCCATCAGGTTTACACAAGCAACCAATGGGTGGTATGCAGTGAAGTTCTGATGGACAAATGTAACGGATGTGTTCATTTCTTCCCTTGCGGGTATTAGAAACACATGGTAATTAGAGATGGAAAAACCCTTAGGAGGGTTACAGGATCTGTCGAAAAAGGCTTTCTTTCTCGACAGATCCCCCTCTAGACTGCTGCTTTTTTTGCCGACAAAGTGCTGAGTCGGCAAAACGTGGTGGCCATTTTTATGCAAATTAGGCATGGGATATTTAAATCCCTGCCTCATTTGCAATGTCAACCTGCTTAATCTGCATCCTTCTGCCAACAGAGGGATGCAGTCTAGACATACTTTGGGTCCATACTCCAGTGCTAGGGAAGGATGGTTCTTCATAACATTTGGTGTGGTCTAGTTTAAATGATTCAAGACATGGGGCCCTCAGGAAATACAAATTGAGAAAAATCTTCCTAACCTGTCTTCTATTAATGATGGCCAAAGCTGGGGGAGTTAACTTTTTAAAATGGTTTCCCCCGATCTCAGAATCTGAAGTTGTGTTTGCAAACAAAGAGAAGGTGCAGAGGGAGGTGAAGGCCGTACTGACGGAGAGCGCCACCCTCTCCTGCGAAGTGGCCCAGGCCACAACTGACGTGAAGTGGTACAAGGACGGGAAACTGATCACCTCCAGCAAGAAACTCAAGGTGGAGTCTGAGGGCAGGTCCCGGCGTCTGGTCGTGGAGCAGGTAGAGAAGAAGGATGCTGGAGAATACACCTGTGAGGCCGCAGGCCAGAAACTGAGCTTCAAGATTATCGTCGCCGGTGAGAGAGACACTTATTTTTATTTGCTCTTTTATTTTCCACTCTTCAGGGAGCATTTCTTTATGAGAGCTGGGCTGTTAATGTGCCATATATGGTCCTGTGGCACTCATCTGTTGCAGTGTGCCGCTAGGCCTGCGGTGTAATTTCAAGTTCATCTGTGGTCCCAGTACCTGCAGGGGGTTTGCCCCTCTGCCTTAAAGTCATGCATGTGCCGGAGAAGCTTTGTGGACTGGTGGATCTTGGCAAATTGTAAATTCCATGAGGGCTGGTGTTTGGGTAGCTCAGAAGCTCCTCTGAATGTGCATGGCTTTATTTGAGTCTCTTTCTGCTATTTATTCATGTTAAAATCTCCCCAAAATAGTATCTCAGAACATTCCTGGTGCTTCCTACTTTCGGCCAGGTCAGTAATACAGTGAGAATAGGCCGTCTCTTTGTGCTCTGGTAATTTTCAATCTATTTGCTGTCTGTATCCAAAAGTGAAAAGTTAAGTGTAATTAAAAATAGCCAAAAGTGGACAGAAAAGATTGTGTTGGTGTTTGGGTTCTTTTTATTTCTCTGAACTGATTTACCTAGCACTAGATTCTGCCACCATAGTTGGCAGACTTGTCAAATGTTTTTTGTGCATTGTAGGAGTGTATTAGATGTTATCCTAATTTCTTGTGTCTCATCTGTAGTCTGGAGTATAATTAGGGTATGTCTAGACTACATTGTTTTTTCAAAAAAACTTCACCTGCATACACACTGCAATCGCGTTCTTTTGAAATTAAATCGAAAGAATGCAGGGTTTTTTTTGACATTGGTAATCCTCAAATTATGAGGAAGAACGCCTTTTTCGAAAGAGCTCTTTTGAAAAAAGGCATCTGTGGATGCAGAACAGGGACATTTTTCGAAAGAAGAGGCAATTGAAAAAAGCACAGGTGTGCTGGTGGCTATTCTGTGAATAGCAATCAGGGCTTTCTTTCAAGAGAGCATCTATGCAGTCTGGATGCACTCTTTCGAAAAATCAGAAGGCTTTTTCGATCCAGTTTTGAGGTGTGCATGCTCTCTTTCGAAAAAGCAGATGGCTTTTTCGATCCAGTTTTAGGTGTGCACGCTCTATTTTGAAAGAAGCTTCTCTTTCGAAAAATCAGAAGGCTTTTTCGATCCAGTTTTGAGGTGTGCATGCTCTCTTTCGAAAGAAGTTGTCAGTGACTTGGAATTGTCCTAGGAGTACATCAGGGCCCATTTGGGTCATTATCTTGTGTTTATAGCATCCCACTCTTTTGCCATAAAAATGATTGTGACGTTGTTTCAGTTTTCTGACTTTGACGCTGGGTTAAGTAGGAGGTGCAGATGGAGGGTTTGAGATCACAAACCATTTATTTATTTTAGACAAAGATTCTTTGGTGATTAGTGAAGGTGGGAGGGAGAAATTAAGGCAGATTATCAATATGAGACAGAGAGACAGAAATTAGCCAAGAATCTTCGGTGATTAGTGAAGGTGGGAGGGAGAAATTATGGCAGATTATCAATATGAGACAGAAATTAGCCAAGAATCTTTGAATCTCTTGGAAACAAGAGCTCATGTTAGTGTCCTGTGGTGGATCTTAGGTTTTTGGTTGTTGCTGTTTTTAAAAGCCAGGAGCTCACTATCTTTTCCTACCGTGCTAATGCACACAACAGTGCAACATGGCCAGCAAGAGGTGTTGATTGTATCTGTGTACACAACAGAGCCGCATAGCTTTAGCCCAAAGGTTTTTTCTCAAGATGATGACGGTTTCTGACTTGAAATATCAGAACTTTGCATGATACATATTGTAACCTAGGATGAAACTAAGGATTTCCTCTTCTTTGGGATAAGGCTGAGCTATGATGGGTTTGTTTGTGTAAATAGGTCTGGTGATTAGCCTAAGGGGCTGCACGTTAGGATTTCTAGGTGCTAGGCTCTGCTGCTGACCTACTGTGTGGCCATGGGCAAGTTACTTAACCAGTATGAAACTAAGTTTAATTGAGCTGGAAATGGATCTGTTGATACGTTCCTACATCACAGGCTCAAAGTGAGAATTAATTGGTGTTTGTAAAAAAGCTTTGAAGATTGTTATAAATGGTGCCATTTACCTACCAAGATTTCTCCAGATGCTCAGTAATTGGTGTTTGTAAAAAAGCTTTGAAGATTGTCATAAATGCTGCCATTTACCTACAAAGATTTCTCCAGATGCTCAGTGTGGTATTAGGAAAGATGATCCAACTAAGAGGCTAGCCTGGGATTCACATGAACCTGGTTCGGCTCTGCCATGTGAGGCTACATGCATTTCAGATTGAGAGGTGCTCAGACACGATCATAGTGGGGAGCCAGATAAATGCCTTAGATACATTATTAATGTGACTTACAGCATTAGTTGAACCTCTGGGCCCCTCTAAGAGATAGGGAATAGTACCCATGTTTCATCCTAATATTTGGTGTGGTCTAATTTAAATGATTCAAGACATGGGGCACTCAAGAAATACAAATGGAGCAAAATCTTCCTAACCTGTCTTCTGCTAATGGTGGCCAAAGCTGGGGGAGTTAACTTTTTAAAATGGTTTCCCCCCCATCCCAGAACCTGAAGTTGTGTTCACAAATGAGGCAAAGGTACAGAGGGAGGTGAAGGCCGTGCTGACGGAGACTGCCACCCTCTCCTGTGAAAAGGGAGGTGAAGGCCGTACTGACGGAGACCGCCACCCTCTCCTGTGAAGTGGCCCAAGCCAAGACTGACGTGAAGTGGTACAAGGACGGGAAACTGGTCACCTCCAGCAAGAAACTCAAGGTGGAGTCTGAGGGCAGGTCCCGGCGCCTGGTCGTGGAGCAGGTGGAAAAGAAGGACGCTGGAGAATACACCTGTGAGGCTGCAGGCCAGAAGCTGAGCTTCAGCATTACTGTCACAGGTGGGAGAAACTCTTTTTTTATCCCTCTTTTGTAGAAGATTTAGGAGGCCAGAGTAATTTTATTGATTAGGAATCTTGTTCACCAATTTTGGAGCAAATTATGGGCCAGGTACTTGCTGCTGATGCTTTGGTCTGGAAGTGGGGGGACTTTTAAAAATTATATTTGTTAATGGAAGGCAGAATCTTTAGGGCAGGGAAAGCCACAGCAGCATCCTCTCTGTCTCTCTATACTACAACGCCAACAGCTCTGTTATCTGCCCCTGAGATGGTGCAAAGCTCTGTGACACATCCTAGCCAGCCTGTACCACAAAGCCACACTCCCCCCTTGAGTACAGAGGAGGGATCATAGAATGGAAGAGGCCTCAGGAGGTCATCGAGTCCAGCCCCCATAATGTCTCCCATCTCGCTGCAGTCCGGTGGCAATATTCGAAAAGATTAAATTACGATTTCAAACAATTTATTAAGCATCTGTTACCTGGTCACCTGTAAGTACTGTGCCATAAGCAAATCCAGTAATTGCATCATCAATTCTGCTTGGGGGTCCAGCTAGAAAGTTCACCAGGACCTTGTTGTAGCTGTAGGCATCTCCCATGTCTACATAAACATGTAGGTGTAAGCAGGGAGAGTAAACAGTCATGCACAGAGGGCGTGTGAGCCACCGGCTATGACATAGAACTGCAGGTTCCAGAGAGCTTGTTTTTAATTCCTGACTCTGACACGGAATTGTTGTGTGGCCTTGGTTCAGTCTCTGCATGTCTGGCTCCCCTGCTACCTTTGTCTATGTGGGTTGTAAACTGTTTGGTGCAGAGACTGTCTTCGACCGCACATTTCTGCTGCACCTAGGCTGGTCATGCCTCTAGGTCAGGAGTGGGCAATAAATGGCCCATGGGTCAAAATAAGGTATTTCGAAATTACCTCGAAATAAGCTACGCAATTTGCCTAGCGCAATTTGCTAGCTTATTTCGAGGTAAAGATGCTGTGTAGACACACCCGAAGGGAATGACATAGTCAAGGCCCTCCTGCTAAAACCTGCATTTGATCTGATCCTTGGAAAAGCTACTAGGGACTCCTCAGCTTGTCTGATTTGCTTTGATGGGACCTAGAACAAGAGCATGAAGTGACGATAAGAAGTGTGTCTCCCTTCCTGGTGCGCTCACACAGATCCATATCTGTCTTGTCACAGCCCTTGTGAAAGAGGAACAAGAAAGTTTGCTGCATAAGAAAATGGACAATGTTTTCCACAGTGGTGGGAGAGCTCCGAATGCATGTGGATTTAATTGTTCGCCTTTGGCCCCGATACAAATTTTGGCAGCCTTGAGGCAGTGGCTTCATTTAATTTGAAATGGTGTTCTTTTTCAGAGCCAGAAATCATATTTGCAAACCAGGAGAAGGTGCAGAGGGAGGTGAAGGCCGTGCTGACAGAGAGCGCCACCCTCAGCTGCGAAGTGGCCCAAGCGAAGACTGATGTGAGGTGGTACAAGGACGGGAAACTGATCACCCCTAGCAAGAAATTCAAGGTGGAAACTGAGGGCAAATCCCGGCGTCTGGTCGTGGAGCAGGTGGAGAAGAAGGACTCTGGAGAATACACCTGTGAGGCTGCCGGCCAGAAACTGGCCTTCAAGATGAATGTCACAGGTGGGGGAAAAGACCCCCCCCCCCAAATTCCCAAAGATACTGTCTTGTCTGAAAACAGGCAAAGAACAACAGCAATTAATGGGGGCACTTTATTTTGCACGGTGACTCTCAGAGGGTAGAAATGAGTGTCACTCCCTTGCAAGGTAGGAGCTAGGCTGATTTATGCTAGCTGAAGAGCTGGTCTAATGTCTGACATACGCCAAAGTATCAGGGGGTATTATTATCAAGAGAGCATCACATTATTCAATTGGAACTTTCATAATAATGTAAGCAATACATGAATATACTTCTTGCAGAACTGCATGGTGCTTTTATATACAACGCATAATTGAGTGGAGTTGCCACGTCACACAGGGAGAAATAGATGGAGCAGCAGAGATAAAGGGAGCTGGTCAGTTGAGATGTGAGAAGAGGCAGGGGGAGAGATGCACTGTGAGGTGTGTACAGCTGGCCAGAGCTGCGGAAGAGAGGGCTTTTGCACAAACAGTTGTGAAACATGGAGTCAACGGAGCCATAATGATATAGACTGGTAGAAGAGCTGGTCCTAAGTGGTGACAGGTGGAAACCGGCCCAAACTGTCGCTGAGAATTCAAATCAAATCTGTATCAAACTTTGATAACTCATCACACCGTATTTTTCATGTGTTTGGTGCATGTGCTGTTCCTGGGTTTAGCTGGAGAGGCCCTAATTATCCCAGCAAGTGTTCTCATAGTTCTGAGACAGGACAGCATCCTTGTTCAGGGAAGCCCATAAGCATACATGTAACTGTAAGCATGTGCGTAAGTGCTGTCCTAGGCATTTCCAGCTTCAGAGGAAGGCGGAAGTATCATAAAAACCTCTTCTTGCAAGACTCCTAGTTAGCAGGGTGGGGAAGCCCTGGGCTGGGTTCCCTAGGGAGGGGGTGGAACCTCCATCCCTAGAGGGGTTTTAGTCCCGGCTTGACAAAGCCCTGGCTGGGAGGATTGAGTTGGGGCTGGTCCTGCTTTGGGCAGGGGGCTGGACTCGATGACTCCTGAGGTCTCTGCCAGCCCGCGGATTCTATGAGTTAAGGTTCTGGGATCCCTTTTTTGAAGGAGAGAGGTGCTCATCCAAATTGCTCTGCTGTGATTTTTTTGAGGTGCTTTCATTGTAAGATTTTGCTCCTGATCTGAGATGCTGTGAGCCTGTTGCCAGAGGCTACATGCCCTCTTCTCCAGAAGGGTACCCTCCAGTTTGCACGATTGGGCCTGATTCAGCAGTGTGCGTAACGTGGGTAATGGAAGCATGTGCAGTCAAAGGAACTGCCAGATGCTTCATGCTAAGCATGTGTGTACACTTGTGTGCTTCGCCAACTCAGGTCCTCAGCGATCAGGGTATTGTCCAAATAAAGGAGAATTTCCTGCTGGGAATGGCCACGGGCAAGATCCCTGAGTCCCATTTGAAAGTGTGTTATCCTGGTTTATGATAGAAATACGAACAAAGAAGGAAGAACGTCTGCACTGTATGTCTAATTTTTAGGGGGAAAAAACGAAAAAGAAACCGTTCTCTGGCTGCACCTGCCATGGTCGGCACATGACAGATTTAGAATTTCCAAAGATGGTGCCTGTGAACGTACAAAGACCTATCGCTTGGGCTCATTTTATATTAATCAGTCAGTTTTCTCTGTTCTTTTTCCTGCCTAGAGCCGGAATCTGCATTTGCAAACCAGGAGAAGGTGCAGAGGGAGGTGAAGGCCGTGCTGACAGAGAGCGCCATCCTCAGCTGTGAAGTGGCCCAGGCTAAGACTGACGTGAAGTGGTACAAGGACGGGAAACTGATCACCTCCAGCAAGAAATTCAAGATGGTGTCTGAGGGAAAGTCCCGGCAGCTGATCGTGGAGCAGGTGGAGAAGAAGGACGCTGGCGAGTACACCTGTGAGGCTGCCAGCCAGAAACTGACTTTCCAGATTGAAGCAATGGGTGAGTGTTCTCCTCCATCCTCCTTCTGGGCAGAGCTGAAGTCAGGGTTCTTATGTGTAAGACATCTGCTTGGCGTGAATATCTTATTTCCTTACCTCCTGGGAATAACTCAGTGACTTCAAATAAGCTAGACCAGGGGTTTTCAACTGACAGGGCATGACCCAGGACTGGGTCTCCTTGCTGCAGGGGGGTCAGGTGAGCACCGGGGGGGCTAAGGCAACTCTCTGTGGCTTTGTCTACACTGCCAGCTTTTGCCGGCAGAGAGTATGCAAACGAAGCGTGACAATATGCTAATCAGCACTTCATTTGCATACTCTCTGCCAGCAAAAGCCGGCAGCGTAGACACAGCCTGTCTGTCCGGGCACTGCAGACTGCGCTGCACCCCAGAAACGGCTGGGAACAGGCCCAGCTCCTAGTGGGAGAGGGCTCTGTGCATGGCCCCTGGCCCACGCACTAGCTCCGCACTCCCATTGGCTGGGAACCTGCTGCTGGCTGCTTCTGGGGTGCAGCCTGGTCTGCGGG